AGCCAGCCATGCTGGCTGGGGAAAAGTGGCCAAGTTCGGACAACATTGGCCTACAGCCTTCGTCCTCCCAAAGTGCATGCTGCTGCGGTGGCTTATGACAAATTACTCTTTCTGTCCTTTTCCTCCCCAATTGGACTTCAGAGCGCAAGGCTCCTGAAGCAGAGATCTCACTATGCTTGCTGTTGAGCAACATGTACAGCAGCCATTTCACAAAAGGAATATGCTTCTTATTGTGCCTGTAATGTAGACACACTAGGTGCCTTCTGGAGTGCTTCATTTCTCGCTGCTCAAAAGTTAATAGCGGCTTTCAGAAAAACAGTGTTACTATCATGGCCCATTTTGGCGTAACACAGAATTTTCAAAGGGAGAACACAGACGATGATGGGGCTTCCCTCATGGAGCATAATGGAGTCTTCATGATGCAGTTCTCTTCATAGCTGACTCTACCAGTTCCTCTGAAGATGGTGGGCTCTTCTCAGACGCAAAATTGGAACATCAGAAGGACTCCAGCTTCAATTTCTCTCCAATATCTACTCTATGGCTTGGGGAATTAAAAAAAATGTATGGAAAGCATTCCTGCAATGCTTTATAGTTTGAAAGGGCACAGTGCAGATCCAGGTTTATTGCCTACACACTGGGTTTCAGGCTACTTGACTTTCTGCCCTAATGCAAAGGGTAAAATTCTACTAGGAGCACAGGGAGGAAGAACTAAGTAAAGATGCTCTTGAACAAAATATTCAGCCAATAATTTGCTTTCAGGGACAAGCATCAATCTCACCGTATTTTCATACAAAAATCTACTTTTGTTTTTGTCAAATTTTCTTCATCTTAGCAGCCTAAGAAAGAAGACAAAACCCACAACCTCTGGGTGTTGCTCACATTAAATCAACTGGGACCAGAAATTTCTGTAAATTTACTGCAAATCACCCAGAGCTACCAAGAGAACCTAATCTACCTTCTGACCCTCTTTTTTTCTATTATTAATTACACTGGCCTAAGTCGAACTTTCTGCAACCGTGTGTGTGTGTGTGTGAATGCATGTTAATCTTTAGGCATAGCTCCTCATACTCCTTAATCTAAATATCTACTTACACTGCAGCTATGGTAGTTGAGAATTATGGTTTCTGTTAACCTTGTAGAGCCAGCAAAATACCACAATGCCTGACTTAATTTCCCTGCATGCCAAGCAGTTCATATCTAGCTTCATTATGATCTGTTTAGATTTGGTTTATGGTCAAGTATAGACCCAGTGGTTTATAAATCATGATCTACAGCAGAGGGATACAACCTGAAACCCTTGGGTATGACACCTGTGGTCTTTCAAAGGTTGCTACAGAAGTCCATTGCACATAATGGAGACGGAGCTTCAATCAAACCACTGTGGCTGCCATCTTGACCTTTTTGATCACACCCTGTGGGTTGGCAGCATGAGAAACATTTTAACATTTTAATACTGAAAAGACTGTGCAAACCATTGGGGGGCTGTGCGCTGCATTTTGCCAGTCATCACAGTGGAGTAATGCCCAGAAGACCTCAAGAGGGCCATGAAGCAGCTGCTGGGTCTAGAACAAGGATACCATAATGAGCCCACTGCAACAGGTATGCAACTATTCTCTAATTTCTACATGGTTTAAGCTAACTGGGTCATGTCATGTATTTTTAGGACTGAGCGTGTCATTTTCCAACTGTCCCATGCCCATCATGGAGATCAAGGTCCATTAGCTAGGTTCTCTATGTTGGAATTTATTTTAGAAAAGGAGGTTAACCATGGCCTGCTAGGGTATTGCAATCTGTTATCTTGAGGCACAAGGAGCAAATTTTGGCGAGACTGAAGCCAACACATGTTCAGCCTTTTTCTTGTCTGGAGAGGAAAGAGGCCCAGGGAGGCCAGTCCTAAATTGTGTATTCTACTTTAGGTAACAGGATGATACTTTCAATAAATACAGGGGGCCCTTGTTATCCAGTTGGAAAATACAGACAAGACCCTGGCAGCCATCACTCTTGGCATATTTTTGTCTATTTTATGCATGCATAAAATGCAAATGGGTTTTTGCAAATGCATAATGTACAGTATGCCTTTTCCATATTTCCCATGCTATCCGCTCTTTAGCTGGCCCAGAACTTGTACAAATCACAAATCTACCTGTACAACTGACAGTTGCTGCAGATGATAATATAAAGGGACTGAATTCCATTCTCTCCAGAAGCAATGGTCCACTGCGTTGGAAGGCATAATTTAGCAGCCTTCTGCGGAAGTTCTGTAAACAGGAGAGGAATCAAAATTGCTGAGCATAGTTCACCAAGAGCCCCTCTCCACCTCCTCACTGACATAATAATAGCAGCACCTGAACACAATCCTCTTGGGCCATCCTATTTATTTCAAAGGGGCTTCAGCTATAGAAATTCTGTGTGGGACTGTGCCTTTATCTAGCAAGCAGAATCTCACAGTGAACCACAGTAAGACTATGATTACTGTTTCCATAACTGTCATTTTACAAGAAATCTGGACAGTGCAAAGAGCTGGATGAAAGGAGGAAAACAGGGTGTCACAAGTGCACGGGCAGCATTACAATTATTGCATGGTTCATGGGTAAGAATGCAAGGCAACTACAAGATGTTGGCAAGTAGTGTTGCTAAATCACAGCAAAAAGAGATCCAAACTACAACCTTGAAATGATTCACTACAGAATGCTTTTTTAAAAGAATTGAAGCAAGTGTCCCCAAACTGCATAGCAGTTTTAAGTTACAGTTAAACCATGAGAATTTTTATCACAAAACATGTTTTTTTTCAGCAGAGCCACCTGCAACATTAGAGAAACAAGAAATCCTGATTGCAGCATTTGCTCTCAGCTGAACAGGATTCCAAGTTTCTCCCGAGTTCTCTACAGCCACACAGCTGAGAACAAAAGTGATTTCATTTAGACCTAGGTCCCTCATACTGCTATTCAATTTAGGTGTGTGAATTCTACCATGCCCTTTTCAGTTCACTATTTGAAAATAATAAGATGAAATATGTAACTGTTGCTGTGTAATAACAGACCCAGCTTCAGGAGGAAGATTCAGAAAGAGGGATTAGAAAAACAACTTTCAGTTCAATAGTGGGAAGAGGTGGAAATAATCAAAAAACATTCCTGATTATTTAAAACTTAAAAATAAAGTTAAAACATGTAGCATTCCCTGTGGTTGGAGTGTTATTGATAATGCAGAACGCTACTTTTGGAATAATAGAAGGAAATCAGAGTTATCTTTTTTACTTCTGTGAACCCATACTAATATTAACCCTGGAGGGAAGACAGATGGAATGAAACTACTGTACTGTATCCTTAAGGTATTTTTATCTCCAACTCAATAGTTTTTGAATGATGTCCACATGGCAATTTGGACACCTTACCCTAAAATTAACCATAGGCTAAGCCATGGTAGAAAGTGCATTATGATTCCTCTTTAGTAGAAGCACTTTCCAAAATGTTTAAATCACTTTTAAAAATGCATTCTAGTGTTACAATGGCCTGGGTAAATGAAATGCCTGATTTGGTAGCTTTTCTCAGAAATTCTGATATTTCTGCACACGCTTTTGCAAATCACTGCCTTCCATATTCACTGAACATGTAAAACAGAGGTTTTCGGTATGAACATTGCACAGACTTTGCACCATTAGACCTCATACATTCATCCCAAAGGCAGCTTCCAAGAGCACAGGCTCAACCATTCCTAACCAAACGGTTTTTGTCAGGAACAAAAACAGGAGAACACAACACACAAAAATTCTTTGCTACCTCTCAGACAAACACAGAGAGAGAGGAAATCATCACTGGCACATTGCCTAGCGAAATTTTACAGCAATAAGGACAATGATGAGGACAATAACTATAACAAACAAAATTAAAATGATAAGCATCTTCCGATTCTTCTTTTGATACTGCTCAGCCTGCAGATACAGAAAAGACGAATTTAACACAGATTCTTTCCTGCAGATTGCAGAAAATAAATAGAACAAATCACTCTAAATAAGGAATATTATGTAGAGAGCCACAGAGATTACCTTGGAGAAACTACAGTATGCAGAGACAGTTACATGTACTGTACAAAAACATGCTTTAAGCCTGGGAAACAAAGAAAACATTAATAATGAACTCAGTTAAGGCAAACTCTCTGGGATATAAGAAGGGGAAAAGGCCTTAGGCTTTCAAGATTCTGTCACTATAGTCTGTATCAGTAAATATAGTTCTAGTCAAACTTGTGAAGTCAGTTTCCTGGTCTGGCCTACTTTAAAGGGTTGACATCAGTCCTGAAAGCCTGGCTGCATTTTCTCTTCACTCCTCTTATATCCCAGGGAGTCAGGGCAGAACCAGTCTGAATTTATTCCTAATGTTTTCTTTGTTTCCTGGACTTAAAGTATGTTTTTGTATATATCAGGGTTTCTCAACCTTGGCAGCTTAAAGGTGTGGATGTCAACTTCCAGAATTCTCCAGCCAGCATGCTGGAGAATTCTGGGAGTTGAAATCCCCACATCTTCAAGTTGCCAAGGTTGAGAAACACTGGTATATATTCTTATAACTGTCACTTTATAGTTTCTCCAAGGATATCTCTGTGCTGTCTACATAATATGCCATGAATCAAATTAGAATATGCTAATGAGAGTCCCTGAAAAATGTCTGTATTAGTAACTGTTATTATTTTGCTGTAGCTAGAATAAAATTCTACCCAACTCAGATTTTATGCAGTTATGTTTTATTTGGCTGATTTATTTATGATACTTGATTTATACCCCACATATAAGGAACTTAAGATAATATGCATAGACGTTAACTCAACCTTTATATCTAGTCTATGTTAGACAGAAACAGTTCAGTTGGTACAAAGAAATGGGTAGAATGCCCATCTGCCAACTGCAGAGAGGTTGCTGTGAGAATTGCAGGTGGCAGTCTGGAAAAAGTAACCACATTAACATACAATCATTAAATGCTAGATATTGAGATATGATTAGGAGCCATCCAATTTCCTTAATTTTAGCTGGCTACCATCATTGTCTTTTTAACTTCTAAAAACAATAGGTACAGAAAGAGAAAACATTATGCCTCACGTTTCTGGAACTCTAATCACAAGCTCAACAGAATGAAATAGTGACATTCAGAATAAGACATCTTAAACATATTCTATGCTTACTTTATGTAGTTGTTTCAATCCTTCTTCTGTTTTAATGCATGATTGTTCAACACTGTAATCAATCCTGTCCAATACGGTACCCTGAAGAAAAAATATGTGTCAGTTCTACAGACTGAAATGCCATATGCGGGCTTAAATTATAGAAAGTTTTCTATGAATATGGATTGGAGGTTGGTTGCTGAATGCCGGGAGGGCAGCATTTGATGAAAGTAAAGCATGCGCAAGAATAAGTGGAATATCTGGTGAACCTAGCCTCTCCACCTCTAACATTTATAAATTATCCATAAATACATTGAAGAATCAAAGGGAGATCATTCATCCTTGTCTTGCTTCTTGTTTAACGCTGAGCCATTTCCTAACCATTCCACTTATTCTCACCCATCACGCATCATTCTAACTGCACTGATCAACCAACCAATCTTTAGACTAGATCCAACAGTTAATTTATTTCAATAATGCTACTTCAATATGGTTGAGTCCAGACCTAATTTTTTTATTACGTTTATATCCTGCTTTTCTTCAGTTGAACCCAAGGCAGACATATAATGTTCCAACCCAAGCTTATATGATGCAAATAGCATTGATATCAAGAGCCACTTACCTGTTCAACTACCATTGCTCCTAAATCCCTGAAAATTTCATTAAGATCAGTAATGGATTGTACAATTTGTCGAATTTCTCGTTCCCGCTCTTCCACCAACATAGTGTTTTGTTCCACTAATACTAACTGGTCATCTGTAAAGCCCTTATTAAAAAAACAAAAACATCAGACTGTAAATGGCTAAAAGCATTGCATCATATAATATGCAAAAAAACCCCAAAGGGTTACCAACTGAATTGAAGCTAAACCTGCAATTTAATGTCCTCCTTTATTTTTCAAAATATTGTTCTTTTTTTTCCCTTCTGCCATCTCTTTAATCTTTTTCTTAAAAGTTCTCTTTTAAAAAGATAAGCACTGTAATTTTGATGTGAGGACAACCCTTCTAAGCCCAGTCGCACCATTTGAGAGTTTCAAAGAACCACTTTATAACCAAGAGCCTAAAAATCCAGCAGTGGAACAAGTGTTCCCAGCAACAATGAGGATGACCTTTGGCAGAGATCCTAGAGAGCAAGCACAGATTTTTAGCAGCAGGTAGGCAGCCTGTAGCCAGAGGATAATATGGGACTCTCAGTTTAATTCTCAAAGCCTTCTGCAAGAGTGATTTATCATTCCCCTTGCAGCCTGCTGGGCAATCAGAAACACAGAAAGATGTCAGAAAGGGGACAAGAGAGAGAGAGAGAGAGAGAGAGGGAGAGAGAGAAGGGGGTGGAACTTTTGATTCTTTGGCATGCCAGCAAATAGCATGGAGCCTTCAAAAGTTCATCTCTGTTGAGGAATCTGCACCTTAATAGAAAAGAGACTCACTAAATTTAACTATTAAATGCAATCATTACCTTCAAATTCTTCATAGCAGTCAAATGAATACCAGATGCCTTGTACTTTTTCATACAAATAATTCAGTTGACTATTTGGCACCTACCCTATCATAGAGGGTCGCATCCTCCCCATCATCCATGAGAGAGACCGATGTGTCAAAGAAATGTTTGGATCTTTCTTCTCGATTCTTCATGCCTACAGGAACAAGAAGACTACTGTCACTAAGAGTCCCCAGCAACAAATAAAAGAAGGGAAGATGCCCTGCTATAAAAGGCTGCATCTGGTCCACTGCTTACGTTTGAGATAGTCAGACTGCCCATGCCTAAAGCTGGTGGAGAGGTCCTGCAGAGACTGAGCTAAGGAAGACACAACATTCTTCAGAAGCCGGCACTCTTGATCCGTACAGCTTCGAGACTTGTTGTGTAAGCCCTGGACTGCTCTCTGACACCTGTGAAATAGCTGGGGAAGATAGAGAGAGAGAAGAGAAATCATTTTTAGAATGAAGCAGCAGCAAGCATTCCAACTTGTGCAATTAACAAGAAAATAAAAAAACTAAGAAACTATCTTCTTAAACTGAAGTAAGCTTATCCCCTAGAGCTGTATCTATCCCTCAACGGCTTACTTAATTTAATCTCACAGTAAATGACTTGTGCTGAATTCCTGGTGATTTCCACTTTACAGAGAATAACTGAAGCCAATAGAAGATAATATATGTAGCTCAGGGCAATATTGTAATATCTACCTCCTTAATAGAAAGCAAAAGCAGCTGTATTGACCTTGATGAAAAAAACAAAATCCATACTGAGGTGTAATAAGGGGTATACATATAGTTGCGTGCAATTTTTTGACACCACTAGTGCCAAGTTGGTCAGGCTCTCTTGAAAGTTTCAAAATAGTACAGGAAGCAGATTCAATTCAACAACCCTCTCACCCAAAGGAAAGGATGGAAACTGAATGAAAATTGTCCAGAATCACTGGGTCCAGCAATGGCCACTTGAGGAGCGGGCGCACCTCCACCTCTTTCAAAACTAGGGAACAACCCCCTCCTTCAAAGCCACAGATCAACTCCCAGGCAGCTTTGACCAATCAGGAGGGACCCGGCTCTAACAGAGAGGTAGCTAAGCTCACAATCCGGAGAACTCTGTCCACTTCCTCATGAGTCACAGTCTCAAACTCACTCCAGGTAACTCTACAAGACTCTGTCTCAGGCATCTCAACTGGACCTGCCCACTGGATTTCAACTGGGAGTGACTACTCAGATAGCAAAAATAATCCTCAGAAGGGCCCAATAGGAATTCCTATGTCTTATCCCTCTCCTGTAGGGAATCAGTTATCTTAAACAGGTGGGGGTCACCCCAGCGAGCCAAAAAACAATCAGAAAGGGATCTGACCAGGGCAATGGATTGATGGTAATGTCCTCTAAAACTAGATCATGTCACATCTACCCCAAGAAAAAAACTCAGATCCAGTGGGCAACCTCCAGTTTGCACTGGACCTTCAATGACCTGGAACAAGTCCATGGTTGCTCTGGAGGCCATGAACTTCTGAGAAATCCCAGACTCACTGTCATGTGGCAGGAAATTGAAATTGCCAAGGACAAGTAACCTTGAGGTCTCCAACACCAGCCCAGCAACGGAATCCAGCAGATCAGGTAAATTAATGTCAGAGGGTTTCTAATCAAATTACTGTCATCTCTGCTGATAGAGAGTATTTGATTTTTTTCAAGGAAATTATTCAATAATCTTTTCCCAAGTCTTATAAACCAGGCAACCCAAGAAATGACTTCAATATTTATGTTAGCCACTAAATTTACTGTTGCAAAATGTTGGCAAATTGAAATAAATCTTTATTTGCATCAATGGTATTTAAATTATGAAGAGTTGCAATAGCTGAACAATTAACTCCGTAACATAGAATCTTAAGTACTGTTTTATTCAAAATGTTTAAAATGGTAATAATTACCATTGTTTAAAATGGTAATAATAACACATTTACTAATAATTACCATCATCTATACAAATACATTTTGGTTGGAATTCTTGAATGTGGATGTTTAAAATCTTTTTCTCCTTAAAATTACATATGCATCCATATATCAGTACTGCCATTTTTAATGTTTTGTTTTGTTTTTTTAAAAATAAAATTGACTTCTGACAGCTGGATTTTCACTTTATCCAAGGGAGCATTAGGGCAACCTACTAACATACAGTCAGGTCCAGAAATATTGGGACATCGACACAATTCTAACATCTTTGGCTCTATACACCACCACAATGGATTTGGAATGAAACAAACACAATGTGCGTTAACTGCAGACTGTCAGCTTTAATTTGAGGGTATGTACATCCAACTCAGGTGAACGGTGAACGCACCGGTGAGCTCAGCAACACCAAAAGACCCGGGAGACAACGGAAAACAACTGTGGTGGATGACCGAAGAATCCTTTCCCTGGTGAAGAAAAGCAATATTATCTGCTCACATTCAGCCAAATGCTGCAGAACTCATTGGACGGCGCTTCACAGTACAGATGGACAATGACCCAAAGCATACTGCAATATTATCTGCTCACATTCAGCCAAATGCTGCAGAACTCATTGGACGGCGCTTCACAGTACAGATGGACAATGACCCAAAGCATACTGCAATATTATCTGCTCACATTCAGCCAAATGCTGCAGAACTCATTGGACGGCGCTTCACAGTACAGATGGACAATGACCCAAAGCATACTGCAATATTATCTGCTCACATTCAGCCAAATGCTGCAGAACTCATTGGACGGCGCTTCACAGTACAGATGGACAATGACCCAAAGCATACTGCAATATTATCTGCTCACATTCAGCCAAATGCTGCAGAACTCATTGGACGGCGCTTCACAGTACAGATGGACAATGACCCAAAGCATACTGCAATATTATCTGCTCACATTCAGCCAAATGCTGCAGAACTCATTGGACGGCGCTTCACAGTACAGATGGACAATGACCCAAAGCATACTGCAATATTATCTGCTCACATTCAGCCAAATGCTGCAGAACTCATTGGACGGCGCTTCACAGTACAGATGGACAATGACCCAAAGCATACTCACCGTTCACCTGAGTTGGATGTACATACCCTCAAATTAAAGCTGACAGTCTGCAGTTAACGCACATTGTGTTTGTTTCATTCCAAATCCATTGTGGTGGTGTATAGAGCCAAAGATGTTAGAATTGTGTCGATGTCCCAATATTTCTGGACCTGACTGTATTTGCATTTGGTAAAACCCAATTCTGTTTTGAAAAGAGAACCCCATTGGTACCTGTGTAATTTCTTGAGTGGTTATTTCTATTGCATGTTCTTCCTCGGTGCTATCATCCAAAGTCGGTCTGTTTAAATGCTTGTCATGCAGACTGGCTATTTCTTTCATTTTCTGTTTTATCCTGGAGATCTCATATTGAATCTTAAAATGTAATTTAAAAAATAAGAGCAAAATTAGAAGCAAAGAAACTTAGAGAAGAAAACATTCCAGACAATCCTAAAGTGAAAAAAACTTGATTTCATTATATTTTTAAAAAACCACACCGGTTATTTATAGAGCAATGCTATATAATTTCAGCTATATACACAGAAGTGGATACTTCTTAATCTTTTCAGACTTAGCATTAGATCCGGGGGGGGGGTGGGGGGGGGAACCCAACATGTCTTGGGTTTAGACCACTTCCAGAATGCTTGATCTGAGCTTATCTCTTACCATCTTGACCAAGAAATTGAACTCAGACAAAGCTAGGCTGATGAAATAATTTCACTTATTCCCTTTTAAGTGCAGTGTCAACAAGATATAATCCAACTATTTCCTTGTATAATCTTATTGTCTTCAACCCTATAAATTTCCTCTTCTAGCTCATGCTAGCAACTTGAACCTTTGTAAAGCAAATGGATTCACCTACCAAAAATCTCTTCATTTATAAATGGAAGAATAAAATACCATATTTCCTCAGTAGTTATGCCTCTCTCTCTCTCTCTCTCATTTAAAATTTGAATAAAATTCGACATTTCCTCAGTAGCTATGCCTCTCTCTCTCATTTAAAATTTGAATAAAATACGATATTTCCTCAGTAGCTATGCCTCTCTCTCTCTCTCTCATTTAAAATTTGAAATACTGTAAAGAGTTATTGCTAAAGCAACTTCACATTTGGTTATTTTATGCAGTTACTTAGAAATCACATATTCCTACTGAATGTTTTTAAAACTATAACTCTGAACGCCACTTTCTTTCTAATTGTACATTCTGCCCTAAACTTCAGAAGATAAAAATTAAGTAAACACATTAATATTACCAATTTTTACTACTGTTTTTCCAGAACGTATGAATATGTGATCACATTCTTTATATATGAATAAACTCACTTCTTCTATACCATCAATCCACTTGGGAGGCAACCTTTTAGTTACACAGACAGCTGCTTCGGGATCTAAACTGATCCCTGATACCAATGCCATGCGATCATCTGCAAGCTGGAGAAAATAGAAAAAAATGTGTTTAGACAGAGTTATTAATCGAAATGAGAATCCAGGGCAAAAAACTTGAAAGTTTAGGGCTCAAGGTTATGATTTTTTTATTCTTTGCAATGCTGAGATTTTTTGGACACTAACCAAGGTTCTCTGATGAGAAAACAGGTAAAGATGGATAAGTGGTGAAGTCTGCCCATCGTTAGATTATTCCATTTTAACTTAGATTTGCAAAGGAGAGCTGAATGTATTTCTTGAGATAGTCATGTAAGACAATTGTAAGAATCCAAAGGACTGGCCAACGTTCTTGCAACAAGCATGTATCTTAGGGTGTCCCCCCTTCAGAACTCTGCAGTTTGCAGGGATTTTATGCTAGGAAATCATAGAATTCTTCAGTGAAGAAGCTGATGTACAAAGTTCTCTCAAGTTTAAAAGAAAACTATTGACTTAAGGGAAAGGCTCTGTCTCTGCATATAATCCCTAACATATTTCAACTTATAACTCATTCATACCTTTTGACAAATGAATTCCCAGGCCAAGCATCACTTCACAATGATGTTAAATACACTGTACATAAGTGTAGAGTTTTATTTAAAGAGGAGCCAAGTTTTGAAAAAGTAAATCTAGTTATGCAAGAAAAGCAGATGCACAAGGGAAATGGAGGACTTAAAGAATTTACAGAGTGGCGACAAAGGCCAAATGGAAAACTCTATTGTTACTTTCCAGACATATGCATACTTCTTTATGAAACTGAAGTGCTCTCTAATTAAAAGGGAATGTGAGGTTAATACATGCATAAATGATTCTGTGCCAAGGCTGGTAACTATTAAAAGAAAAGCTTTATTCTTACTATTTTCTTTTCAAAGGCCAAGGAACATTTTATGCCCCAGTTTAGTTGTCTGTCTATCCATTGTCAAGACATCTAAAAGATCTTGGAAGACAGGTAGGTAGATACAAATAACTTCCACCCTGGCTTAAACGAGGACTGAGTTTAGAAGCATACACAGTATTTGATATAACTTTCTTAGTCTTTGGGATAAGTGCAGCTCTAAAATCTTCTAGGACAGGGTTCCTCAACCGTGGCAACTTTAAGATGGGTAGATTTCAACTCCCAGAATTCTGGGAGTTGAAATCTACCCGTCTTAAAGTTGCCAAGGTTGAGGAGCCCTGTTCTAGGAGACTGGGTTTACACATTGGACTAAGCCAAAATGTGGTTTGGCATAGCGTGCTGAAAGACTCCTACCATTATATTTAGTAAACTATATTTTACATCTCAGCATGTTGGGCAAAACCATCCTAATATGATTTATTCAGCGAGTCATGCTTTAATAAATAAAAACTTAGCTTGATGCGCGAACTAAGCCACAGAGAGTGGATGAAATTGAAACAAAGGGCAGAGTGGAAAAAACAGGACAGAGTGAGTCGGTTTTGGGCATCCATTCCAAATTAATCTATAGGTCTGAGAATTTAGCTAGCCCTGGGCCCCGGTCTATCTTGGCATTACTCTTCCACTTACAACCAGGCAACTTCCGCTTAGTAAGCGCAAGCAGCTGCTGGCCACCTCTGACAATACTACCCATGAGAAAGCATTGTTTCTTCAGGAAGCTATACAAAAACCTACAATTGGCTTTAAAATTAAAGGAAGTGCTAGGCTTGATATATTAAAATTATTTATAGTTTGGAACCTCTTTTGTTTGGACCCTGTTAGCTCCTGTTTTGAGAAAATGTTATATTTAAGGAACTCTGGATGCTTAAAGCAATCCATCATACCAGAGAGGCTCTGTCATCTGCAGTGGCAGCTCGGTCTTTAAAATTGGGCCTATCTTCCTAACAATATCTTTAAACCTGAAAACTGGCCTGCAAAGTCAAGCTCAACATTTCTTTCATTCCCAAACAGACATGCCAATTAGACATTATTTTTAGGCTTTAAGTCAGTGTTGTCCAAACTTGGCCACTTTGAGTGGACTTCAACTCCCAGAATTCCCCAACCCCGCAAGCACAGGCCCGGCGGGGGGGCCCCGGGGGTTGGGGGGCCCTCCCTCACAAGGCCAAGTTG